CTTCAGCTAAGCTAGCTCATTTTTGCATTTTAATCAATTACCCTCAAATCCTTCCAACTAAGCTAATAAATGAGTGACACAAGATTTACTGAAACACACCATCTGTCAGTTTTACTGCATAATCCTGTTCTCCCTAATCCATACCCATTACAGAAGACTTAGTATAGTGAACCTTAGCAGAGAGCAGTGAGTTCAGACTAACATGCAGGACAGAGGACACGAACAGTACATCTCTGTAGGACTTGCATTTTTCTTGTGTCGGTCCACATGAGACTTTCAGGTTGTCTTAATTACAAATTAAGAAATACACAAAAACCACTGAATAACATGAAGCTCTGCTTAGAATAATGATTTTACCATTGTGTTGCCAATGATGCAAAAAGCAGTAGCACGCGATAGGAATTATATAGGCAAAAAGCTTCAACATAGCTGTGTTACTAGCTTAAGAGTGGGAAAATACCAACTGAATTTTGTTTCTAAGGCCAAAATATTGGCACCCCCTTCACAAAACTACACAGTTGGAAGAAAATACATTATTGGGAGACATAGCCATTGTAACTGAGAGGAACTGAATGTGTTCTGGAGCATACTGAGAAGTATCCGATCCTACCTAAATCAAGACACTATTCATGGTGAGAAAAACAAAGTCCAGCTGCACTCTGCTATGAGTATTTGGCACAGCGCACTCTCTCAGAAAGCTGCTAAAAAGAGAAGTCATGTTGATGAAGTTTAATTCCAATCTTGCCTTTGAAATTTCCCTTTTCACACCCCAAACCTCCCCCCCCACCCAGATGTAACAGCCAGGTCACAGGCTTGAAACCCAGAGACCTGGGATCTGGTGCCAGCCTGCAGGTCTCCTCTCCCACCCTTCCTGATTCTAGGATGCTCTGATCTGAACAGGCAAGGCTGAGGCAGGAGTGTCTACTTCCTTCCAGCCGCTACAGAAGTCCCACAGTTAATACAGACCAGCTTCCAAGGAATATTTCCAAGGAGCATGGAAAATGCTTGGGAGTGGATGCCAGGTGAGCCAAGGCTGCAGCCCTAATACTAGCCGTGGCAGTAACGGTTGGCAAGCATTGGCACTCACCACAACTTACCAAGGCTGTTTCCTCGTGCTTAGGCTTGGGCAGAAAAAGTGTTTCTGCAGTAAGCTGTCGAAAGTATGGTAAACCACTGCTGTTGTGTTAGATCAGCTTCCAGCTCCCCTTCCTCTTGGCCTTCAGATCTTAATTTCAGCCTTTCTAACTGCAGGGAATGCGCTTTCTGTGCGACACCATCACAGAGTGCTGGGACCACGATCCCGAGGCTCGCCTCACCGCCCACTGTGTGGCCGAGCGCTTCAACCTGATGGCACAGATGGATTGTGATGATATCCTCAACAACAACACAGACAACGAGGCCAGCAAAACAGCTTCTCCAGGCGGGGAGCACCAGGACAGTGACGGCAGCAGAAACACGCAGTGACACAGCAGGAAAAAAGCCTCATCACGAGAAACAAGAGGATAAGTGAGAAGCATTTAGCTCATAGGAAAAAACCTTTTTCAAAATGGAACCAAGATCTAGTACATAACTTATTTATAAGATCTGTTTCCTGCCACAAATAAGTGAACTATGGAATCAATACTTTGGTTAAAGTGCAACCTTATATATGAACTGATTTTGTACCTACTTTAAATGTATAATGATGCAAAGCATCCCTTTTATTATTTTTTAAAATAATAATGTTTAATCTTTTATTAATAAGCTCCAGAATTCCGTGTCTATCTTTTGAAGTCCTTCCATATTGCCATCACAAGTTTCTCTTCTAATTGCTTATTCTGCAGAGATCAAGAGAATCGTCAATTTTCCTTTTTTAATGGTGTCCACACGCCATACAAAAAAAAAATTTATCTGTTGTAGCAGCATAGAAAAAACCATCTCAAGATGTTACACATCCTCAGTAGAAGAAATGCTGGCACCCACGAAAATTACTCATTGATCAGGCAGTCTTAATATGGTGTAATGATAGCCAATCTAGTTAGCAAAAGCCTGATTTGCTGCAACTCCAAGATACCTTTTTCACTGGGGAGTTCCTGCATGCATTGTTCAAGTGGGGCATGAAGTTTCTTTAATAGAAAACAAAAACCACTAAGAAGTCTCCATGCAGGACACCTAGACAACTCTTTCCCCATAGAACACTCCACTTTCCAGCCACTGTTAGGCAACAGATTTGTGCCATAGCAATAGTGTCAACACAGATGTGTTGGCTAATTCTTCTTGCAACTCTTATGCACCCCTCTGCTGTGCTACTCAACCCAGAGAGACACAACCAGGCAGAACCTGGAGCTTCAGTCCTGTAACCACCAGACCAAGCCAGGCTGCCTATGCAGGGGAAAGGCAACTAAGGAAAGGTAAGCCATACCTCAGTCGTGAACCCGGGCGCTGTGCATACCTTAATCCTTCCACCCTTGGGAGCAAAAACCTCACCTGCTGCTAAGCCCTGCAAGCCCATACCCAATTCTCACCTAAACAGAGGTATATCTTCTAGGACAGCATCAGAGAGGAATACTTCGCTTGCCAGTGTGCAGCTGAATGGATCAGCCCTACAAGAAAGGGGACTGAAGGCTGTTTTGGTTTTCCAAAATGCACAATTATGACAGCACCAGCCCATACAAAACACTTTTCTCTCACTGTTTCCTCTTCCTTGGACCATTTCCATAGCTCCTAAGCTATGGGCATATAACGAAAATGCCTTTAAACCCTTCAAAGAAGGATGGAAGTGGAATGCATTAGGCTGCATCAAATCTAAACAATAAAAACTTAACTTCAGCTACCAGGGATAAGTCTCCACCTGCAACTGTGACAGTACCTTTTACTCTCACCAATCCCCCACTTGGCTGGTACCTCCTGTCATTTTAGGATTTTTTCCCTTTTCTCTTGCAGTTTATCCTCCCCAGTTCACCATAAACACACCCCCTCCACCCACCTGACTTCAGTCTCATTTCTTTAATGTATTGACCACTGCTCTACTGTATGCATGCCCAAGAGAAACAGACAGCATGGGGCAGGTTTCCTGACATGGAGATAAACTATGGGAACACACCAAAATACACCCGGGCTATCCAGTCTTTCCTTCCCATGCAGAATTTCACCTACCAAGTTTTGCACCAAGTCGTTTGGATAGAACACCAATTAACATTTATTTGTTCTTCAAAGTTCACTTCAAGAGGCTTTAAAAGGCAGTCTGACCAATTCTTCCCACAGGTCAGCGGGTCAGAAGGGGATCAGCACACACAAACTAGACATTCAAGGCTGAATCTCTGATTCTGATAGCTGAAATGCAAATTATCCTGGAAGACAGACACTTAATACTAGGCTTGATAGTTTATCCTGTCAATATGCTGAAAAACTTCTTAGTCTATTTCCCTCCCCATGGCTAAAATCTTGAACATTCAAATTTACATACTAAATTTTTTTCTATGAAAACCAAGTCAAGCTTTTAGGATTATACACCTGAACACCTACGTTAAACAGGAGTGACTTGTCACACTCTCAGTCTTCCATGATCAACAAGGTATGCAGCACCTCTGAAGAAAGCCACTTATTTAACCTCCAAGATCTGTTTTTAACTCAGGGAGTCTAAAACCACTGAGATCAGTAAGAACTTTGCTCTTAGCCTCAGTGGAGCCCAATCAAGCCAAAAAGACAGAAGGGAACATAAGGTGAAATCCTACATTTGTCACGCTCCTTGTTGAACACACTGGTTCTAGCAAATACCTACATAGGAAGCAGCAGTGAGACATTCCCTTCACTCCACAAGGCACAAGATGGAAACAACAGCAGTTATGCAAGAGAATCAAATCTGGTCAGAGTTAAAAATACCTCCATTAGTCCACAGCATGCTTTCAACTCTCAGAAAATCACATAAATGTCTTACAATTTAAGCTGGATATCCAGTGGCTAGATTAGTTTTTTTTAAAACTGTTTTCAACTACATCCTTTGTTTCTAGAGGTAACTAGAAGTTTGCATCATAACAAAATCCACATCAGGAATCCATTCCAGTTCTTGTGATAATTTCATCAAAGGAAGGCTTTAATTTCTTTTTTTCCTAGCAGTACCGCCATGTTAAAAGAAATAGTTTCATGTGTTTTAAAAGACTACTTCTTCAGTGTTGGGTTTATTTTTACACAACAAAATTAGTAACAGCTTTCTTAGTGTGAAACCACAAGCATACCATATGAGGGTGGAAGAAAAATAACTTGACTAATAATATTATATAAGGAACACAAATGGGTTTATGGTCAACATGGGAACTTTTAGGTCTTTTACAGCCATCACCTTGACAGATTCGCAAATCAAAATTTCAAGCACAGCTCAGTGACTGAGTCATAAGTCTTTATCTTAACAAGCACAAGTTTGATCGCTGGAGCATGCTCAGCTGATAAAGGTTTGTTTTCTGAGCTGATCACTGCCATATTAAAAGCTGGATGTTGGACCAGAGCCCTTGCTGTTTGTTTAAAGCAAATCTACCATGTGACACAGACAGAACAACTATGAAACATATACAGTGTTGTCAATTTATTTTCTGACCCTCTACCACCCCAGTCTGGTGCAGGTACCAATGAACCATGGCAGTTCACATGTTGTCACCATTATCCCAATTCCAAATGCTAGAATTGGCCAAGAAATACATCCCAAATGTGCCACAGACCTAGAAACAAGGAGGAACTAATCCCACTAATCTCACTGTTTTCATGGTTATTTTTATTCCCAGCATTTCAGACATCCCAGACATCCAGAACTAACACAACAGGATGATTGTATAGAATACTACAAACAAGACAGCAGGGCCCAGAACGTTCTTCTGCTGGAGAATATAGTTACTACTGAAGTGTACAGTGCCAAAATATCCCATCATTAGGGGCCAAGGAAAGCCCAGCCAGATTTCCAGCATAAAAGACAACAACCACCCACTTCTCCTGGTCACCCAATCTCCAGGAAAGCAGACAGAACAAATGAATCGTTTCATAGTTTTATTACCCCCACCCCCACTTCTCACAAACGGACTATGACTCGCATTGAGATCTCAGTGCATTTTACAGAAAATAAATGTACAAGAGGATCCAAATAGTTGTGCATAAACCCAACTCCTTTTTTGCACAATTTGCAGTTTGTGTGGAAAGTTAAACAGGGTTATTTAAACCTTCTGATGCATTCTTGTATCTTCTCCATGACCTTACCAGATAACACATTTGTGAGTTCTCATGATGCTGCATCAGGTGCGGCCATTGCTGAGAAGCAGCAGATAGCGTTATATACACTTACTGGAAGACTACATCAGAAGAAAAAGACAGATTAAGGCACCACTGTTGGAAAAATTAAGGTAGCTTGTAGTTACAACAATAACGAAAGCCATAGTAAGTACTATTCTTAATTGCCAGCAATTCTTAGACTTCAATAAAATATTTATAGAAAAAAAAAAGGATGCTTGTACCTGAATACAGTTTCCTGATGTCTGATTGTTTCAAGCCAACACCCAGTCCTCAGCATAATCAGCTTTTTTTTTTTATGGTAAGATAAAAAGCCAGGACCTACATCCATGTATTCACAGGTCACATTTCACTGTTTTCTTCTGAATAACACCACAGGAGAAAAAAACAAAACAATCCAAAGCACAGTTTGTAACACTGATACTTCATCTCCGAGATGATTAGATGGGCAGAGACACTGAAATACAAAACTAAGTTTTCTGTTCATTTTGAAAGCCTTAGTCCTCAGGAAGGGAAGGTGGAGGAGGAAAAAAAAAGGCCAAACTTCATTACATTATATTATGAGAAAAACCAAAGTCGCCCGAAGAGATTTAATAAAATTAGGAGTTGAAAAGTGTTCAAATTACTTTTCCAATTCAAGTCAATTATTTCAAGTATATTAAAATGTTTCAGAGGAAAAATTTCTCCATGGTTACAATTCTAATTGTTTTTATAAATCCATAAAAAAGAAAGGGAGTCTCTACATATATCCCATGTTCCTCCAATGCATGCACATGTTTTCTCTGAGGAAAAAAAAAGTCATCACAATCCAGTTGTTTCTTAACACTGATTTCAGGCACATCTTCCAAATACCCCTTCAGTTTTCACCAAAAAGGTTAATCACTGGGCATAAAAGCAGCAATTCTTTTGTTGCTGTTGTCTATATATAGAGCAGGTTTCGGTTATTAAAGAGCTTGATGCAGAGTCTGAAAAAAGTTCCCATGTCACTCCAAAATCCAACATCTCCTTCTCCTCTGAGGCAGCTTTTGCAGTCAGATCTACTTAGAAGAATCTTATACAATTCAGATAAAATCTCTTGGATGATACAAAAAACAAGAATGTACCTGGTTTGTCTCTACAGCTTCAATATTATTTTACCTTTTTCTTCTTTAATACCTTTAAAGTGCCCTAGTATATTTATTTCTTTATGCTCATTTAAACTTTCACAATTACATAAAAAGGGAACACTCTGTGTGATTACTGTGTTTTGAGAGACAAGAGGAAAAGGAGAGGAACATCAGAAAACTCATCTTAAAGCAGCTTTTCTAATTAATGTCCGTTTGCTGAGTTTGTGCAGCAGAGACTGTTTTCCAGAGGGGTTTATGATAAACCCAGCCATCTCCCTGCAATTTGAAGAGAAAATATGGTTACAAGAAAGACACCACCCCAGGAGAATTCCTTTCACACAACTATTACACTGATAGCTGGGAAAACCAGTGGGACATAGCTTATACCTTTAACTCCCAGTGATTAAGACAGAGACCAACGCTGCAGGCTTCCAAGACTACTTCAGAACACATATGGACTCTTGCCGAGCCCCACTGCTCTCTAGGAATTGACTGCGCTTGTAATTAACCCAGATGCAAAGCTACTCTTCTCAACTTCATGATCCAAATTACTTTATGAAACCAAACAAGAAGCCAGCAGAGGTGCAGCTATCCAGGACTGTCAGGTCTAACACAGCCCAACTGCTTACCCAGAAACAAAGCAGCTCAGGATTACATTTAAACATTTTCTGAGTAGATCTGTATCTAGTGCTAGGAACAGAATTTCACCTCTTCTAAATCTAGATACTAACAACATAAATATCTAAATCTGAGTTAGTAATACTAACATAACTTTAGAGAACAAAACACTGAAGCTAGCAGATAGTCCTGAACCATCTCAAAGTTAGCATACCAGCAATCCCCAGGCTTCCTGGGCAGGCTGCAGCTCACCTTGTTAAAAGTCTTACTGTATTATTATTACTACCATTACGGAATAGAGTTTAAGCCATCAAACAAATAAGCTTCATCCAAAACATAACATACAAGAACAAAAAAAAGTTCTAAGGTGTGAGAGACTGATCTGAAATCAGACTCCACTGTCCATTGTCTCAAAGATTGGTCTGAAAAGCTGAGATGGGATTCCACCTATCTTTTGTCTCAGAGATGGGTGGGAGGAGTTGAGATAAGACTCCAATATCCATTGCCTGGAAGAAAAGTGTGTGGAGCTGGACTGGGACTCCACCAGCCTGAGGGATGAGTGGGAAAGAGCCAAGACTACCATCCATTACCTCGAGGATTTGTGTGAGGAATTGCTACCCATTATCCCAAGAATTGCCGCAGACCGGGGGGGGACACACACACGTGTAATTCAACACATGAAGAACAGAGGTACTCCCCGCAACTCATAACAAAACGGGGAAAAGATAATCACTGAGGGGCACATTGCCAGGGAGCCACTGCCATGAGGATGACTCCAGAAGGACACCTCCATAAGGACATTCTCCACCTGTCTCCAGGTGGAGTTGCCCTCATGGTGACACACTCTATGGGGTTCCTTCAAGAGGAATGCAGAAGGACACCTCCACAAGGACACCCACCTCTGACGGATTCCTGGGGGACACTCTGCTCCGATACCGACTACGAACCCTGAAGAACTCTCACCACCAAAGATGACAAAAACAGGATGACACCGCTGGACCCACGGTGATGACTCTCTCCCTCTGCACCCCAAATCCTTGCTTCATTTTCTACCTTTTTTCCAATTTGTCCTATCGCTATTCCCTTTATTACAATAATTTCTCTATTTTACAATAATTATCCTTTCATAATAAACAAACTGTTCAATTACGGTACTTGACCTTGTCTGCGTCTTAATTTCACCCTTGGGATGACGAACTGAAACAGGGTCTGGCACTGGGGTTTTCTCCAACCAGATCCTGATATAAGGTGAGAATGAACTCATGTTCCTTCATGCTAATAGTACTATCTTGGGTTCACACACACAGAGCGTAGGCAAAATTAGTACTATTGATTATTTTCTTTGGGTATTTACCATTACAGTCTACTTACACATGTATATGCAAAGCTGTTTTCCATACACCACAAGGAAGTGCTTGGTAAAAAGAAACCGGACCACAAAACAGGCAAACATTCTGTTGCAAGGGAATCACAAAATCAAAGTGTTTGGGAACTGAAGTCACACCTTCATATGTTTAGGAGTGCTTATGTCACCTTACTGTCAAGGATTCCACGGAGCTAAACTTTGAGATCTAAGGCAAAATACTCGGAATTATTCTGACAGGACGTGGACCCATACTACAATGAAAGCACCTGCCTTCATTGTAGTTCTACCTCCACCTTCATCATCAGCTGTTTGGGAACTTACTTCTTTAAGGAAGTATTTAGTACACCAGGGTGTTTCTGTTTCAGCACGAAGCCTCTCTTCATTCCTCTGTCGCTCTTCAAGGGCTCGCTTGTGCTCTGTAGCCTTATCAATGTCTCCATCCCGCAGAGACTCTGTTACGTGCTGCCACAGCTTCCTACAAAACAAAGTTTTCTCAGTCTGCTACCTCAAACTGCAGGATTGCCTCATGCGTTTCCTTCAGAACAGAAGCACTCCCTCCAGTTATACATGACAAACTAACTCAGATCAGAGCATGATGGTGCAGCACATGTGGAAGGGCTCAAAGCCAAGTCTTACAGCTACACTAACAATTAGGAGCAGATAGAAATCACTCTGAGGTTTTGGTTGTGCCAACATAATGTCTGTTTGTATACCCTGTAAAATTGTTATGGAAGTGTTATTCAACAAGCAGTTCCTTTTGAGGACTTCACTTGTCAGGAGCTGCCCCAATACGTAAGCATTTTCCACAAAGGAAAACCTGAAAATGTAGATATTCTAAGGCATTCACCAGACTGCTTAAGACAAAATGGGTCAGGCAATAGTAAACACTTATTCTACCTAGATTCAAATGGTCCTTGTTTCTCAAGGGGCCGGACTCGTTTTCTTGTCACCGACAACTTTGTCAAGTCCACATATTTTGTCTCCCCGTTGCTGTAGGTGAACTCAAGCACACTGTTCCATTCCCCTTGCACTCTGCACACCACTGTGTTTGTTGTGTTCTGCTTCACTTCACCTGTGACCCTAGGAAAAAAATTTAGTTTTTAAAGGCCATGGCTGAAAACACCTGAGTATTGATCCCTGCATAATCATTCAACTTAATTCTGAATGAGTCTGCAAACTTGTCACACTGTCTTGAAAGATGCTGGTTACTTGAACTGCATTTGTATGGACAAGCTCACGGAGCAAAGTGACTTCCACTTGTTTCTGTAGTACTCTTCACGTTACCCAGAAAACTCTTTTTGGCTTCAGCTTGAAGTTATTTCAAACCTTTGAAACAGAACTGAAAATGGAAAAGAAACTAACACAGGCTGGTTCACATGTAACAAGCACTTAATTGTTTCCACATGAAACTCAGATCCATAGCTCAGACTTCAAAATTTAAAATTAAACTCACTACCTGCTGACACTCTCTCATCTTTACATTTCAATGCTCTCCATGTGTAGGTGGTCTCCATTTTTATGTTCCTCACATGAGGAGCAGACACATGAAGGCAAAAAGCAAGACAGGAAACTAGGAATCAGGAAAGCTGCTTTTCTTTCCTGTCTTCCGCAGAAAACTCTGCCAATAACAAGATACTGAAAAGGTCTTTCTAATATGCAGTATTTCATTCAAAGTGGTGTACTGGTACTCAAGTATCACCATAATTACACACACTGATGCATATTTTCCTCCTGATCATCAAGACCTGTCCAAAGACCTCCTGACAGTCACATCAACCTGAATCAAGGAGTGGAAGCTTACTGATCATTGCCAGACAAGCAAATCACCATCCTCAAACAGAACTTTTCTCCTAGAAAAAAAAGAAACAAAAGGGTCTGCACACTATGCAAACAAGACTTGAGACATCCTCACTTGTAAGGTGCTCCAGGATTCACAAAGGACACTATTTCTAGCTCCAATCAAACTTCAGTTACCTGTATACAAGCTCTCTAAAACAACATACAATATACAAGCTCTCTAAAGCCTCCCTTCCTGCATTTCATGAGTGCTAATATGAAGCTGTCATGGTTTAAACTCTGTCAGCAAGTCAGTCACGCAGTCTACCCCCCACCAACTCTTTTTTTCCCTTCCCCCCTGCTCCTGGAGGGAGGGGGAGGAGAATCAAAAGAATGTAACTCCCACAGGTTGAGATAAGAACAGTTTAGTAACTAAGGTATAACACAAACCACTACTGCTACCACCAATAATAATGATAAGAGAAGTAACAAGGGAAGAGAATATGATACCACCCACCGAAAACGAGCCTGACCGAGCAGAAAGTGCCCTTCTGGGTAGCTCCCAGTTACATTCTGGGCATGACGTGCTGTGGTATGGAATACCTCTTTGGCTAGCTTGGGTCAGGTGTCCTGTCTCTGCTTCCTCCCGGCTTCCCCTCCTCCCTGGCAGAGCTTGAGACTCACAAAGTCCTTGGTCAGACTAAACATCAATGTTATCAGCTCTGTTCCCACGCTGAAAGTCAAAATACAGCACTGCACCAACTACTAAGAAGGAGAAAAATTGACTGCTACTGCTGAACCCAGGACAGAAGCACACATTACATCTCCTTTGACACTTACGTTATGTACAGCTAATAATGGCCAACTTGCACACCTCTAGTTTGCTCTTATTTCCTTTGAACTACTGCACACAGATGAGTAGACAGCAGCACTCCTGTGCTCCCACCTTGCCCATGCTGGCTGTGAGATGCCACATTCAGTGCAAGAAGGGAGTACAGGACATGTAGATGCCACTTCCCTTCTTATATGTGCACCAGTTACTTCCAGCTGTGTCTGCATCTAGCCATGTCCTGTCCCCTCCAAGCCTGGCATCTGTTTTGATGCGATACGTTTGATGAGGTACAGTACTGAGCTGCTACATTAAACTCTCATTGCAACTTGTGCTTCTTCAGGTTGCATTGACACAGCCATTCTCAGCACTGTAGATCACAGTATCTGCCTGAACTAATATTAGTGACAAAAATCTCCTAGCACTTCTTTGTAAGCTTGGCATGAGTGATACATACCTAGTTGTTCACAATCATCATCCTCTATTTCATCAAGCTAAAGAGGTACAGGACCAAGGAGCCAACATCCAGCTGAGGTCTAACAACTAGGGTCACTCTACCAAAAAAAAAAACAAAACTATAACATTGCCATAGCAACCCACTTGCGCTCTGTGTAACCATGACAACACTGCTGCTTCCCCATCAAGAGATTCTTCTGGCCATGTCCAATCATCACCGTGTCAAATTTTCAATAGTTACAGTACCTTGAACAGATCTCTCTTCATAAAGCTTCTACATCTGTGACAGATTTCAGAAACATATATAACAAAACATTTTCCAAAATTAAATCACTGAAATAAAATTGCTTCCTATCACTTATTTTTTATGGTACAACAGGAGCTATTGCAAGGTGGAAGATACACTACAGCAATGGGGGAAAAACCTCCCGAAATGATGCATCACTTTAAAATTGTCAGAAAAGTTGCATCTCCAGATGCCACTACGATAGGGAGCTATGCTTGCAAGTTAAATTCAAAGCATGTATGGGAATTCATAGGGCAAAGCACTTTATGATGGAAGTTTTGGTGCATTTTTTGTTTGTTTTCTTTAAACCAATAAATATGGCCTTACTACTGTCTCACAAAAAGTGACTTAGAGAAGACTGATGATTTTTTGCAACCTGTGAGAGCAACCCACGTTTAAGAAGTTCTGATGCTCAAGGCTGTTACATATTTCATTATCTCTAACACATTTAATCTAAAAAAGGTTTAAACAAACATTGTCTAGTAAATGTGTGAGTACAAAATGCTCTGGAATCAGATATTCTTTGTGTGACTACTACTGAATTTTCTCCTTCCTCAATTGTCTCTATAACAGCACAAGGCTAATCTGTAGCAGTCTTACTACAAAAAGTCTAAAATCAATGTTGGTGATTTTCTAAAGCATTTACACCAAGCATGCCAACACTTCCTAGAATCTGCCAGAAGTAACCCTAGTCAAACTTTCCCTGGATCTTTTTTTTTTACCTGTTAGTTTTAACCATGCATAACCATGAAGAATTACCACTACAAGAATTAACTTTTTTAAAGACAGAAATGACATTTTTACCTAGAGATTTTCTCTAAGTTGCTTAAACTTGATAGTCTTAGGTTTCTCATATAGAAATCCTACAACCAATGAGTAACAGAAGACCAGTTACTGCAGTGCAACTACAATGCATGTTGCAAACAAATTGCAATATTTAAGACAACACGATCAACTTCAATTCAAACAAAGAGCAAATCCAAAAACAGGAAACACTAAACAGCTTCTACTAACAGAACTACTAGAATCTGTAACAGCCATAAGCTCTGCTTTCCCAGTGGTTTGAACACAGAGTCAAACATGGAATTTCTTTACTGTTTTTAAATGCAACCTGATACTGTTTAAGAGCACAGTAGTACCTCAAATATTTATAAACAGGAAAAACTACATTTTCTCAGACTATCAAATAAGTAATATTCAACATACCAAACAGGTGAGTTACACAGATACTACAGTTCTAGAGCACAGACTACTAGTAAGAGGCAAGGGGGGGAACATTCTTACCGATGCAATTTTCCACCATAGAAGGGCTTGGTGTGAAAGTTAATACTTGCAGAATACCCAGTCTTCACACAGTTAATGTTGACTTTTCCTCCCAGTTCTACCCAGGGAACAGTTAAAATTGACCGAGCGTATGCACAGGGCAAAGAGAACGTGTATTCTTCCCCATGTTCCAGGAGACTTAAGAGACCTGTGTGAAGAAATACAAGAATCTCTAACATTAGAAATCCCCATATTAGAAAAGACCAAACAAGTTACTGAAACTGATAGCCAAGACTACATCTGAAAGACTACATCTGAGTGCTGCTCCTCACAGCCCCTCATACCAAATAGAAGAAAAAAAAAAGCCACAAAAGTGACATTTATTACAGGTTCTAGACACATTTTCCTGAAAGTACTAACCTGACTAACATGCATTTTGGTTTCTTTTGGGAAGAGACACTTAACCTAATAATATTGCTCCACGAATACAATATTGTGCTGTGCAACATACTCTCCACTAGTATGTAAAAGGGCTGGACACTCTCTTATTGATGGTTCTGGAGCACTGCAACACAATACTTAGGAAAGTCTGACAGAAGTAAGGAACCCTGCACTGCAGATCCTGAGGAAGGCTAATGCTCCTGTTCTGTTTTCCTTCCCTACAATACATCTTACCCTATCTGAAGGCAGGTAGCAGAAACAATTCTCCTAACCACACCTCTCTGCCAAGATAAACCCAACTCTTTCCTGACAGTAGCTTTTGCAATAAATGTCCTGAATCTCATAAAACACTGGAATATTTCTTTGGGTTTTAAGATGTATGGGTTTGCTTGATTCCTATTGAAACCAAGAAAAACCCAGACAAAAAACAACAAAAACCACCACAAGATCTACCTCCGGCCCTTACAAAAAACACATGACAGCTGCTGCCTGCATCAACTCAGGCCTCTGTAGCATATTATCACTGTGTGTTTGACATCAGTATGAAAATCATGAGAAATTCTGAAAAAAACTGATATGATTTGAGAAAAGCCTTAGAGGAAATACCAGCTTCAGAATTTACTTGGAACAGCCAAAGTACTGAGATATGCCTTCCATATCCCCTGCCATGTTCATTCCCTTGTCCATAGCTGACATGCCATAATTTAATAATAACTTTATGTTATACTTTTATATATATTATTAATGATATTAATAAGACACAGTTTATATGCAAGTGCCTGGAATCCCTAGTTACTAGGCAATATACACAGGGGACACAGAATGGGAGATGCTGTCTCATCTCTTACAGTAAATACTAGTACTAAAGGGAAACTGCAGCTTAAAAGCAATTACCCTTCTCTGCCCCTAAAGGATCCAATTTCTCTAGTTAAGAGAAAATTAGAACTTGCATAGTAAAATACATTAAGTACAGTACATGCAACCATACTCCTATTGAATAAATGTCTGATGCAAATGAATCTGTCTGATGCTTTGGAAACATTAGTAAATATCAGTTCACATCACAGTAACTGTCCTTTGGTTTAAAAGTCAAAATTTTATCTCCAACTATAATCCTGATTTTTGGTAAAGCATAAACCTGTCTGTTCCCCCATATGAAACCTTCCTGTGTAAATTTTCCTGCTACTGCTCCAAGAAGGACTTGTAGTACCTCCTGTACATTGTAAAGAGTAAAAATAAATAAGAACTCACTGAATGACTGTACATTAAAGCCTGCAGACAACAGAAGAAATCCAGGAGTACAGGGAAAAAAAAATAAAATCTGAAAACCCAATGACACCTTCTGCATGCAGATTTTTTTTTTAAAGCCTTTGAAACAAAACTACTGAGCAACATTCATCTGTATTTCCGCCAGAGGAATGTAACACCAAATTTCCTATCAAATTAACAATATTTTAACAACCTTCTGAAATGAATAAAGGACAGAAGTTACACTTACCCTCACCAATCATCGTCACTCCTATTGACATTCCTAAGAATTTACTTTTTGTCCAGACGTGGGCATTAACACACATCTTTCTCTCTACACATTCAGCATAAAACCCTGAGACAGGAGGATGGTGGGACACTTGCTCAGCTACAAATTTTACTGTATAGTAGTCCAGCTCTGTTTGGCCCTCCATATCTTTAGACAGAGTTACTTGCTCTGAGGGGGACTGAGCAGAGAAATTACTGCCAGCATCAGTGGCTACATTGCTTTTTGGCATCCTCCAGGAGCAGTGAAACGTCTCGCCAATGATTGGATTGTATGGTTTCTTTGCAATAGCTCCTTTGCGACCTTCATGAAACGAAGTGAGATAATACTCAACAAAGCGGATCATCCTCTCCTCAGGGGTAGTGCCATTTGTGATTGCAATGAAGAGATCTGGATGGGACATGAAGTCCGCATACATCTCCAACAACGATCGCTTCTCTAAAATAAAAGTGGGAAGAACCACCTGCAGTAAAAGAAAATCCAGAAAACTCTAGTAAGGAGAAAGGCATTTTTATAAGGGAAGTTCTCAGGTGGAGGATTCTGTCCTATTTTAGATACCACACTTTCAGACAGAGCTTTCTTGTCCCTCTTATAAGATATAAGCAAAATACAGCAATCAGAAGTCCCAGAAAAGCGATTTTCAAGGAGAAGAAAGCTCAATAAGTACTATTAGGACTAAGGAGGTGGAAAGGAACTGAGTATCCCTCAAAAAAACAAAAGAGCTGCAAAGAGAAAATGTGTCCCACATTATCTGTGGAGGAGAAAAACAAGCAGGAAAGAGCTGAAACTGTATCAAGGAAGGTTCAGACCAGAGGTTAGGAAAGGTTTTGTCTAATGGAGAGAAAAGCAGGGAAGCTATTTCAGTGCAATTGAGAGCCTGCAGTCTCTCACCACAGCAACTACGGCAAGCATCACTGAGAAATAACATAGTATAGGTTGATCCTCTACCTCTGAGCAGACAACCTTACACTTTCCCAGTTACATTCACCTCTATAAAAACAGCAGTCCTGTTTTTTGCTGGGCCAAAAGCAATACTGTAGAGTAAGAGGCTGTAGGTATCATCAGTCTTTTCCTTCCCTGCAGCAGCAACAAACCTCATGTAGCTGCCGTTGTAAATAGCAACACAGGGTGTCTCAACCATGACATCATGAAAGTCTGTTTAAATCAGCTGCACTCAGAAAGGTAAAGCACAGACTTAAGACTTTTAATAGACATAAAAGTTAAGCTGAATATGCTTGACATGTTGTTGCAACACCAACCCGGAATATTGAAGTTGCTTTTCACTTCAGTTAAATGGAATTCTAACAACTTCATTACCTGTTTTGAAGTCAGGCTTGTCCCATTTCAATGCTTTGCCTACTCTGAACAATTCTACACACACAGCCAAAAATTGCAACTGGGAGACAGAATTGACAATTTGCTCCAACTAAGAGAAAATGATACTCCAAATCCAATCTTCAGTAGAAGTGAAACAATGACTTCCTGATTAAGCAGCAGGTGTTTAAAGTTTGGCTCACAGGCAGCAGGGCCCCTTTTTGCCACCTTTCCCCCTAATCCCTCCCAAAACCACGAAATGTAAGCTCCACAGTAAAAGTATTTCTAGAGGCCAAGCAGCTAGTGCTCAAAAACACATCGCTGGGAAAAAATAATTCTAATTCGTAATTCCAAGAAAGAGAGTGCTTTCCTCACTCCATACTACTGTAGAACCCAGTTTTGATTTATTAGTGTCTAGTGCTCATGATAAGAAGTATTCACAGAACTGAACTAAACATAAACTGGTAGCAACCTAATTTTCCCAGTTTTCCTGTCCAAGTTGTCTAGTAGCAACTGTTATTTTTTTCAAAGCTGCTTGCTTTTGAGGTTGGTGCACAAGTTTCAAACCCAATTCTCTTCACTATAACTTTGCTCCCGCTTGCTAAATCTGTGAGCAAACAGAAATGAGAATGGGACAAAGAGGCATAAACAGACATCTGAGGATAGATAATGTGGAACCAAAGGAAAATTTCTTTTCAGAAGCAGCATGAACACAGATACAGGGTTATGCAAGTTGCACATAAAAGCATTATTTAGAGAAAAAAGATGATGGAAGGAAATCTGAAAGACAAAAATATGAGAATATTGTAGAAAACTGTATACAAAGAATAAGGTGCAAACACAGGAAAAAAACCAGGCCATTATGGAAAAGCCAACAAAACCACGGTGGAAAACACAATGTAATAGAAAAGATACAGCCAGTTTCACTAAAGAAAATCACCCCCTCACCACCACATTTCATTTAAAAACCTGCCTCAAATAGGGACAATGGATCTCAGAACAGCAAGCTACTACTGGCCACTATTTCATATTAAACTCAATATCACTTAGTACAGGAGTTGAGTTTAAAATGGCACTTCACTTTTACTGCAGCCAGTCTTCATGCTTCAGTCACTTACTCTTGTTAAGTCCATGCCAAGTTTCAGCTGAGACAAGAGATGCAGGATAACACTACGCTGTTCTTCTACAGCTCCTAGGTCATCTTCTTTATTATCACAGATATCTTCCAGCTCCTCATCGGGATTTATTTCTTCAGGTTCCTGGAATAAAAGCCATAAGTGTCACCTCAAAGATATGACTGACCAGACAATATGTAAAAAAGTCTTCATGCTATATTTAACTGTCCATGTATTAAAAATAAAAAGACTAAATAAACCCCTGCAGAACACAATGGAATCTACTGCCAACATAAACAACAGTTGAAGAATTGAAAGGAACATTAAAATAACTCAGCGCAGATTTCATCTAGAGGGTTCAGGCTACACCATCTCTCACATGGGTTGAGGCAGGGAGGGAAGCTTTAAAAGCAAGTATGACCTGTTTTCCTGTAAGTTTTGTGACCTAACAGAATGGCTAGCCTGTAACACACACACCAAACTAGCAAAGTAAAATCCAGCAGAGATTCCAGCCACTTCAATAACACCCCTCCAATTCCACACCACTTCAAGCTTTCCAGTGCTGCCATCACCACTCCAAAAGCTGTAGCAAGTGGTAGTTCCTAGTTACTTGCTTACTGTCATGCCACATGCCAAATATATCTAACAGGCCAGTCTTCGCAAGCATTATCAATGTTGCTGCTACTGCTGATACGTAACAGTAAAGGAAAAAGGAAAAGTAACCTGGAGTTTCATAAACATTAGCAAAAAATATATCTCACATACACACACTACACACTCTGGTTGTCTGCTTGCATAACAAAAGCACCCAGACAGACCAGCAGAAATTGTTTTAGCACCATTTTAACAATGACAGCCCAAGAAGTACCATTTTAACAACTGTCATGCTACAAGGAGAAAGTCGAACACTTCAGGTGGAAGGGATGGTGGTATTCCCAGGGCTCTGAGCAGCATCCTCCTGGGCCAAAGAGCTGGAGGGAGGTAGACGCAGAGGGCAGAAGCACTGAATGCCACCGGAGGGCAGCGATATGCCTCTGCCTAAGCAAAGCCCTTTATCCTGGAAGAGCTGCCCAAGCTCAAGGCAAATTTATGAACACTCAACCATCAAAGCCAGGTGGGCAAGCCCTCACAAGATCTCAAAGTTTGGTGAAAAAAGCAGCACCACACTGGTGACAAATTTCTAAGGATGCTATCATAAATAAGGGAGCTGAAAGTATCTAAGGGGTGTGATAAGCCTAGCCCTATCCCAAATACATTAAGCTCTTGAACTATAACTCATGTAATTATTGGAAGAAGGAAGGAATTAAGTGATTTTTAAAATCTTAGTCCTGGCTTGTTTTTGTTTTTTTAATTTAGCAATCACTCTGATCCATTTAATAATCTATAAATAATACGCAACTGAAAAAAAATCATTTCAATTTGGTTTTGCAGACATACAACCATACACTATCTTTTCACAAAGACAGTCTCATCCAAAAAACCTGTGTGAAACCAACTAGCATAAAAAGAATGTAATTATGATTTTCTAGCTTATCTAGGAAAACACATTCTTTACCATAATCCCTGCTGGTTTTTTACTTCAGTACACTGCACTTCAATTCTGACAGTTCTGATGCAGACTCTAGCTGTATTTCAAATACATTAAGCCATCCTGAAGTCAAGTAATGACAGTTGCTCAGATTAAGAAAAACAGATGCAGCAAGAAAAGAAAGATAGGGAGATTTAACAGCTGGAGACTGACAAGTGTGTCTTTCATCTGCTTAGGCAGCTCTTCTTGGGCCTGTTTTGAGGGTCATGAATTCCAGTTAGGTTTTTTGTGCTTCAGTATCCACCTGGTTTAGATCAAAATGCAAGGGAATAACTGCCTATTCCAACACCTTGCATTACCATCCCAATTGCCTCCCTCTACTTGACAGCTAGTTACAGAAAGCAACAAAAAATTATTGAAAAAGCAAGGGAGGAAGTTTCATTTACTGCAACTGTACTCACTCCTCCTCTGACACAGCTAATCAGAAAGTATGAGAAAAATTGTCATTACACCATTTTCACATAATATGAAACATTTACAGATACTCCTCAAAATAATTCCCCACAGAAATGGGATATTCACATTACCTTACCCTTGTTAGCTGGCAGGGCTCTGCAGTGGACTGCTCTTCTCTGACAGATGCTGGCTTGTTTATCTCTGCTGGGAAATTCTGAGCTGCTCCATTTTTGAAGTGGTTTGCCAGAGATATCTTCGGTTCCAACCAACTGATCGTTGTTCCTGAAGCAAAAGAAACTTTGCGCTGAAACTTGCTCATCCTCCGGAAGGTCAGTACACAGCAGTTTTCACAAAAGAGCTATTTTTTAAGGAATAAGCTGAAAGCAGCCAATTCCTCCTGCAGCCAATCCCTTCAGCAGCCACTAAACAAAAGGTGGTGCAATGAGACACCACCTTCAGTGATCATTAGCACAAACACTGCGATTGGTGAACTGTAATACATGCAACTTGGACTGGGGAAACTAGTTGGTGTCATGAAAGGTGTAATCAGATACTACAGGATGAGCCCAGTATCACCGGGAATGTCAAATAACCCTTACAGTTCTCTTTAACTGCTACCAAAAAAGCAGCCCACTACTTCTCAGGCTCTCAAACCCAGCTTGGTTCTAGACTAAAAAGAGCTAAAGAAGAAAGTTTTGTTGCCAGTGTTTTCTCTGGAGCAGGTACTGGTCTATTCTCAGCTGCAAAGGAAGCAAGCACACGCTGTTGAATAAATAATAGTTGCTAAAAAAAAATATATATATATATAAAGCTGCCAGGCTTGGACTTGGAAAGCTATTACCCACTTGATGATTCCAGCATCTCTGGTTACTCTCAGCTAATTTATCAGACCAGATCAGGTTCCTCATCAATAATACAAATGTTCCATTCTTTTTCAAAGGCTAATAAATGTATAGGGCACTCCAATAAGTTTTACAGAAGAAAACACAAACAGACAAACTATCTTGGTTGGGTTGCAAACACAGAAATTACTAGGAAACCTGAACTTCTACCATCACACAGCAGTTTCCTGTGCCTCAGAAGGGACACTGTTGTCTCTTCCTATATGTTACACAATCCTTTATTTCCAGACCTCTATTACCTGGAACTAGGTCACATAGAATCACAGAATGGTTTAGGTTGGAAAGAGCCTTAAGATCATCTAGTTGCAACCCCCCTGCCATAGGCAGGGACACCTCACACTAGACTATGTCACCCAAGGCTCTGCCCAACCTGGCCTTGAACCCTCAACCACAACAAGCAGAGTGAGTTTAATGCAGCAGCATTTCCACCAGGAAAATACTGTGGCAACAAAAAAGTCCAGCTTTACAAATAGGACAAGACAACTTTTTCCTGCAGCAAGACTTATTTTCATCAAGTATATTACTCATGCATTCATTACATAGTGAGAAACAAGAATCCCTCAGCAGCTCAATCTATTTAAACAGAAGTTTTGAAGAAGTAAAAAAATAAGATGCACAATGTCACTGTCATGCTTACCTTTTCATAAAGGTTTTACTCATCTTTAAAATCTCTTCATGACACCTGTTTTCTGAGCTGTAGCTTTCAACACAATCTCTAATTGCATGTTCTAGGCTGCATTCAATCCAATATTAGTTTGAATTTAACAAGTAGCTTCCCTTTTATACTCCCTATCAGCTACTTCTAAAATAACATTATTAAGGTTTTTTTTTAATTTTGGCTATTAAATTCTAGGAGATTTAAGTGATTTGAGCTACTGCCCCTACGCAGTCTTGTAACAATTTATAGCAAACTTACATCTTTTACAATCCTTGTTTTTTTAAGCCTGACAAGCATCTGCCTGACACATTTTTAGCATCAGGTACCAAGCTAGCAGACCCAAACATTTTTTTTTTTTTCACTTCATGTTTAAATCTATGATGTTAGACAAGTCTCCTCTTCACCATCACTTCTTGCTGCACACCAACCACTTGTATCTAGCTGAAGTATACCAATCTGCCCTTATGATGCTAGCAGGATTAGTGTGTGTTTGATAGAAACAGTCTGCATTCAACATTTTTTCCTATATCACTCTGTTTTCCTACACTTAAATATAGAAATGCCTCCTGCAGGATCTGAATTAAGCCACAAGCCTTTTCCTTCCTGTATGAACTTCTGAAGCCTACTGAAAATACTACACCAGTTGGGCCACAAGGAGAAGGATCACTCTTTAGTCAGAAGGAGAAATCTAAGCTAACTGGATTTAAAATAAAGTTCTTCGCAGTCCTTCAAAGGAACAAATGTATTATAGTGTCTCTAGAAAGGCCACACCCGTGGGACAATGGAAGGCTGCAGTGCCTTATTTTAATGGTCTGATTTTAACTCTGGTCCCAGTAATTCACCATCCAATCTGCTGCTCCTCCCCTCTCCATCCATCTCTTTAGGATGCCACCAGAAATCTTCTAGATTTTGATATCTTCAAGCAGTTTTTAGATTTGGCCATTAAGAAGCAGATACCAACCGAACAGCAGTCAGATGAATTGAACTTTTCCCTGCATAGCTTAAAGAAATGTAAAAAAACAACAAAACACACACACAAAAAATATCTTACTTGTAAGTTATTACAATGCTCACTGGACCCTTCTTATTTCCCCAAATACAGTAATGGGTCAAAAAAACCCTCCTTAGTAGCACACACACAAAAATGCCTAACCAGAAAGACTTCTGATGTGCACCTCCCACAGTTATGCATCAATAGTTAAACAAAAAACTGAGGGAATTGGAAGAGGTTTCTCAGTGTGAGTACCTTCAGCATTCAAAGATCTGGAGAGGCGCCATCTGGTTTTTCATTTTTTAAATTTTTTTCAGTTTTTAAATTTTTGAACTTAAATACAGCAAAAAAGTTGATTCATTAATGCATGTGGTAATTTTTGTATAGTTTTTATACTCTTACACAAAATATTTTTTCATCTTAGAAGCTAAACCAATTACAGCTCTGAGATAACATGCACTGGCAAAGCAAGTACCACAAATATGAGAGGAATATGGGAAAGATAAAGTAAGAGACAACTTCCGAGCACAGTCTGTTACATACTCACCCTATCGTATCTGTTGTGTAAGAGAAGTATTTGAGAATCCTCAAAAGCTTTTTGTTTACAAAAAGCCACAAAGTAAACACACACACAAAAAAAATAAATCACAATAAGATGCAAAAAAAATTACAATCAGGAAAGAACATATTCAGATCCATACACTGCACACAAAATAGTAGAATGATTCTGGTAAGCACCTACTTGCACAGACGTGACCGACTGCGTAAAGGCAGCAATGTGTATGTCTGCTGTCTGTGAATTCATATTATAACCCAACCATTAGCAGAAGGTTTTGGGGGTGGTTGTTAAAGAAATGCATTCTGTTGGTTTGGGATTTTTGTAGATTTTTTTGGTGGGCTTTTGGGGTTGTTAGATTTGTTTGGGGGTTTTTGCCTTTTGCACACACACACACCCTCTTTTGTACCTTTAATGAATTTGAATTTGCCTACAAGTCTGTTCTGACCTCAGAATGGAATGCAACACTCAACCTCCCAGTTTAAAACATGGACTAACTCAAAATGAGAATACTGATACATAAACAGTATTAATAATAACCTGTGCAAATGTAGAGCTTAAAAATATAATGCTTAACAAGAAATGAAAGCTACACATATGTGAAAACTTATAATAGGTATTTACTGTGCAAAAAAAGCCAGAAAAGCATGACATCTGACAGAGTTGTACTGGACACCACATACCCTAGAATATGCAATTGCCTAACATTTCCTCTTTACTATTATTGGTCTTGAGTGGACAGTTACATCGCAAAAGCAGCTTTCTTGTTGTGGCACCTTTAAGTACTTTATTCTGTTGCAAGATGCTCCACAACAATTAGATGTTACGTTTACGTACCTAATGCTGCTGCACCCTTCTTGATAGAATAAATGATAAAAAAATTACAACATGCATGGAGTTTTACCCAGTGCTAGCAAGTCAAACTCTGGAAAAACTCACAACAAACCAGGCAGCTGGCAGTTTTCTCTGCCCATGGGAAACTGGAGTAGAACAAGCAATTATGCAAGAAGGAAAGGATGCATATTTGTTGCAGAGTTTTCCTCTTTGCGAGCATTTATACCCACCTGCTGGTAAGGATCCCTTTTGTTGAGAAGCATGTTGTAACTGGAGAATATGGAAACAGTCATTTAAGCAGTTCATAGTTGCCATGGAAGTTGCTTTGAGCATTAACAGGTCTTGATCCAAGGATGTAAGGTGACCAGAGACGGGAAGGCATTCTATGCTCCTGATCAAGTCTCTCTGCTGGCCCTCAGCCTGAGACATCATCTGTCGAACAAAGCAGTTATTTATCAGGTCATGGAAGTGTGTTGTGTGATACACGTTTAGCTGTGCACAGAGAATCCCAAATGATTTTATGATGATAATAAAACTGTAAGATAATAGATGTATGTAAAGATAAATGTGCTTTTTTCCTTGATGCAGCTACTAAAGAGTCATTAAGTGCATGATGAAATTCCCATGGCAATACATCATACCTCGTTAACAAGCAACAAAATACCAAAGTGACTTAAAAAAAGAAAAAGGCAAAGAGGAATCTGAACATGATATTTGCTGCAGTGAATATCAAACACTTTCATGCCTGTTTGATAAGGATGGGGTGAGGGGGAAACCACACACACACACTCTGTGTGAGGAGTAATTAAGCTCTGTGTTTTGCACAGCTTAGAAGAGGATGTAATGAGGTACTACCCATAGATATCGAGATCTTTTTATACCCTACAAGAAGGGATCCAGCACTTTAAAGGAAAAGACCTGTATCACTCAGTTTAGCTCTCCTTTATTGTCTGCACTGCCATCACACTTAGGTTTGCTATCTCAACATTTACTTTGCCGGGGGGGGGGGGGGGGGGGGGGGGGGAGGATTTTCACTGTCATTCTGTGCTCAAATTACAGCTGCTCCATTGTCATGGTCCCCCTTGCTCTCCCTCCTTCACACCGAGGTACACACCCCTACATCGCAGAACCTGCAACAGCACATTTGCCTGCAAGAGGTATAGCAGCAAAGCACACCAGCCATCAACCAGCACACTGCAGTCTTCCAAAACCCTCCATACTTTCCTCTTTGTACTCACAGAAGCAAATTATTGCCCGATTTTGAATCGCAGGGATGAAAGCAACCTGTATGTACTAGTCCCTTTTCTGGGGAGGTACAACAAACAGCACTAATGTAACTGGACAGCACAACTCTGCAATCATAACGTGCTCTGGCAGTTAAGTTAAATGTGAAACCAGATTGATTTAGCAGAGCAGAAGAATTTCTTTAAAGAATCTGAGATGCATTCATGCAGTATCTTATTTTTTTTAGTACCTTTGCCTGCAATCCCTTTCCCTTTTAGTGCTTTATGCAATAAATATTTGAGCAATAAAGTATTCTTCCAAGTTCACGGTACGTGGTATTTGGAACATTTTAGGGCTTGGCTACATAGCATACTGTCCTGGGTTCAGCAGTAGCAGTCATTTTTTTCTCCTTCTTAGTAGCTGGTGCAGTGCTGTGTTTTTGACTCTCAGCCTGGGAACAGCACTGATAACACCGATGTTTTTAGTTGCTGCTTAGCCATGTTTAGCCTGACCAAGGACTTTGTGAGTCTCATGCTCTGTCAGGGAGGAGGCGAAGCCGGGAGGAAGCAGAGACAGGACACCTGACCCAAACTAACCAAAAATGTATTTCATACCACAGCACATCATGCCCGCTATATAAACTGGGGGCAGTTACCTGGAAGGGCTAAATCACTGCTCAGGTCAGGCTGGGTATCGGTCGGCGGGTGGTGAGCGATTGTATTCTCTTCCCTCGTTATTTCCCTTATCATTAGTATTATCATTGGTGGTAGCAGTAGTGGTTTTGTGTTATACCTTAGTTACTGGACTGCCCTTACCTCAACCCGTGGGAGTTACATTCTTTCAATTCTCCTCCCCATCCCTCTGGGAGCAGGACAGAAGGAAGGGAGGGGAGCGACTACATGGTTCTGAGTTACTGACTGGACTTAAACCACGACACATGCTATGGTTTGAATTTACAGAGCATTGGCTCTTTGGAAGTGGAGTTAACTATGTACAGCCAGCTTTAGCATGTCCCAAGAAGACAGGGCAGAAAGCTAGTAAAACAGCTGTATAGCCTTGCCTATGCAAACAGACCAGTTGCTATCAGAACATGTATCTTATTTTCTTCCAGTCGCAAATATAAGTCTTTGTGTGCAAGGTTTTCCAATACTGTGAAACACTCTGTTGATGTAAAAAAAAAATAAAAAAAATAAAGACGACAGATAATTAGTTGACAAATAGCTACAATCCTTCTGGTGATCTTCACTCTTAGTAATTTACTATGTAGTAGCACCCGAGCACTTCGTTCCAGGACCAGGCCAAACAACAGGACAAGCCATGCTATGCTCAGCACTGAGTTCAAAGGACACGCTTCACACATTCCTAAGTTTTTCCTGCTTATATACTTAGATTTGTTAAATAAAAAAAAAAAAAAAATAGTGCCGGGGAGGAAGAAGCACTGCGATTAAACCCTCAAAACCTATCAAATACACAGGCTGTAGTTCTCACTTCTCAAACACAGACACCTGCATTTAGTGGAAGTCAGCAGAAAGATTCTCTTAGATCTCCTGCTGTTCAGGGTATCCAAATCAGCATGACATGTATTCAGCCATGAGAAAGGGGAAGTAGAAAGGAAAGGGACTGACACAAGATTCAGCAATAGCGCAATTTATGGAGGAAAAAAAGAAGAAATACAATTAAAAAAAAGTCACCATGCAGCAGATCCTTTGAAGAGGAAGCTGCTCTTCCCACAGCTTCTCAAACTGAATTGGCAAGTATTCAAGCTGTATCATGCTCAAGTGTAACAGGCATGCACCAGCCTGTTAATTTTTTCACTATATCTTAAAAAAAAAAATAATAAAATAAGCGAACTAACTGACATTCAGAAAAGCTACTGTTATGGAGGAGTCTCCATCTGTACAGGTCAAAACATTTAAGTTGATAAATAATAATCATACTGTGTCACTAAACTCAGTAACAATCAAAAGGGAACATGAATAGTTTTCTGCGCTCTTCACAGTGCTAAGAAAAATCATTCCACTTCCCACCCAGTGAAAATCTCAATTAGAGGATGCAAGCCACGGCTTCAGTGCACCAGCTCACACACACTCCTCTTTCCTCCCTCAAACTTTGAATGCCATACTGCCATTTGAAAAGTCAAAAAGTTAAAAGCCATGAAAAACAGGAGCCACAGGGACGCCAGTTGAAGTTTTCCTAGGTATCTGACAGGACTTCACAAGCCTTTGCACCAGGAGACTTTTACTGCTATTAGAGGATACAAACAAGATGGCAGCAGCAATCTACAAGAACAGTCTGTTGTGGACAGAGATTTTCACAGATTCTGAAGTCTAAAGAGGCAGTCACCTTGTCTAGACTACCAAGTAATTATGCCACAGCACTTGATTTAAATCAAGGAACAACAATGATGGCAACATACCACACCAGGGAAAGCATTTTCAATACCTACTTACAGCTCCCCATTGATGAACTTACCACATTATTTTACTTAGCCACATATTTTAAGGTTAATGATCGTCACAATACATAGCACTCCTCTATCCCAGGTTATCCAAGTTCAATTTCTAACTATTTGCACTTCATGGATCCTTATTTGCTAAATTAAAAAGCCCTCCACAAGAAATTTTTGCCAAGAAATGTATCATGCTACACTTATTACACTGCTAACATTAAAATAAACATTAATAAACACTACTACTAAAACATGTTTGAAATTCAGCAACAAATTCTCTTTTACTATTATCTTTAGATTTGCCTCATCTACCCTGTAAATATTCACAAGCTAAATCAACCAGCAGTCGGTTCATTATATCAGTCAAGATGGAAAAAAGCACTTCTTAATTGCTCATTTTATTTTGCTCTTTTTTGAGTCACATTAATCCCTAGACAGAAAGTAGTATCAGTATTCTTAAACATCAACCATGACCCATTTCTGCTTAGTTACAGGAGATACAGGTACAGCTTAGTCCATTCTTCTACAGCTTGACATGGGAAGAAAACAGTATATAACAGTTTCATAGTACATGATGCTGTACTTCCTTAAGGATATTCCCTTGTCAACTAAAGTCCTAGGATTTGCAAGGATGAGGAGAACATGCAAAGCTCGACCCTGAGCATGAGGATATTATTGCAGAGTACAAAAGTCAGAATATAAACTACATAATTCTACACTTCTACAATTATTCAAGGCAAGTTACTTATTCTCACACAGCTACGCAAGAATAGCTTAGGACATGCTATTGACAATATATTCAAATAAGAATAGCAAGTTTCTCTACAATCCTACCAATAATAGGACAGCTCTTTCAAAAGATTATAAGATAATTTAAGGTATACAAACCTCTCTAACATCTACAAGGTGATCTGGCTGCATAATAGGAACTCTTTTTCCAGTTGGCAATCTATGATGTCCAACACTGAAAAAGGAAACTGCATTTTGACTCGGTCTTCTTTGCACACCAGGAGAGTTGGCACTTCCTTGGGATGCAAGAGAGAAGCTGCGAGATTTCAGAGGAGGATTGTTCTAGTGAATAAATAAGCATATTGAGAAAGATTTACAATTAATTCCTAATAACCAGCAAATATTCTGATTTGACAGACACAGTAGAACAGTTTAATTCTTTTTTTTTTATAGAACAAGGACAGATGATATAGCCCTAATAATATATTAGTAGCAAATGACAAAATATTTTGTGCTATCTGCTAACAGTTGCCCTGTTTTATATCCTAATTATTAGCAATCTGTGAAACGAGATTGATCAATATGTACCAATTCTCTGACTTGAAAATCAGGCCATGGGAGGACTAGCTGATTTTACTTATTGATGTGCAACAATACTAGAAACTGACTCCTAACAGATCTTGCAAAGATATAACTGGCATTTAAGAGAATGGGATTTCATATGGAACTATTCATTGAACATGTCTTTTACAATAAAGCCTACAAGATGTTGATCTTATCTTGAAAGCAAGGCTTTATTCAGGTATCACAATAGGTGCTACAGTAACTGGGAGGTTCTGTGAAATACACTATATTTACAACTATCACATGGTTAGCAAATGGAAGCAACAATCCTCAGATATAGAGTTGAGGACTTGCTTCTCAAACATGGGAATTAATCCTAAATGTATTTGTGGGATGTTGAGTGGCTTAAAAAAAAAACACCACCAACCAACCAACCAACAAAACATTAAAAAGAAAAGCTCCCAAAATGGAAGGTATTCAATAACACTGAAGACCTGTTTCCTCACCCATTAAAAAATGCAAAACATCTAGGAATTCTGGGATAAGATCTCATCTTTCATCTGCCTCCAATACCTGCTCACGGATACCTGCTCAGGAAGGACCATTCAGATCTTCAGGGACAAAAGGACTTCACTTTGTTTCATTCCTAAAGATTATTTCTATTACAAGTCAGCTATTAGTCAGAAAAATATTTATTGATTTAAGATTCAAACCCAACCATATATGCCCTTTTGCAGTACCTGTCTGAGGTAACAGGACAGCAGTATTTGCAGTTCTACCACCTGCCTAGCTTATTTCTGCCCACAAAAATAGCAGTCATACAATACCTTTCCGATAGCTTCCGTGTGATGCTGTGTGCATATCTGAAGTCTGCTAACCCAGTGTTGACGTTCTTTAGCATCAGTAGCTAATAAAAGCAAACCAAAAGGATTATGCAAATGAAGACATTTCAAAGCATGGGCAAAAAAAGACTGCTTTTTTTTATTTTCTTGGAATAAGAGTATAGTACGCTGAATTAGAAAGCGACAGCAAGTCTTCAAGGGAAGAAATACTAAAAGATGTTAGATACAGATATAAGAGATACAAGATATTAGATATAGACATAAAGAGCTATAAGCTCAGATTTCCACAGCCTACAAAAATCAGAGAATGAACTTCTATAACCACCACAAGAAGGCTAACAAACTGAACATTAGGAAAAATGTAGTTCTACGCAAGCATCTACACAGTACTGTTACCTACAATGATTTAGAACATTTTGAATCAATTAAAGGACATTATACATTAAGAGTAAACCCCAACCTACACATCTGAAGTTTGTGGTCTTCTGAAAGTCACACTCAAAGAGTATGGAACTATCCAAAGGAAGGACAGTTTCTAACTAAAGAACAGGATTAAAGTTTCACATGTAATTCTCACTGCATCAGTCTGAGAAACAAGTTCTTGCTTTTCCATGCAACCAAACCCAGCAGAGCAGCTACAGATGGGAGCCAGGAGTGCTCTCTAATGGAAGAATCCCTTGCACAAGAACCCAGGTCCTACCTCTGAGTTTATACTGCTCCCCGCTGGCAGCGTTGACTGTAAATGTATGAGAGTCTTCATCACTGGGTGAAATTACAGCTCCAGCTAGCTGCAGGGTACCCCTGGGCTTTAGATGTCTAGACTGCTCGTTCACAAAGTACTCCAGCAGACCAGCATCATTGTTTAAAACAAAAAATCTGCAATGAAAACAAAGCAAAAGGTACTGGAAGAAGTTAGGACTTTCATTACAAGTTGGCACAGACGAGGCTGGGACTTAAAAGACCTGAGTCAGTACGACCCCAAACATACGAATTATGTCCCCAGCAAGACTGCACAAAAATTAAATTCTTAGCGGTTTTTTCCATAGAGGCCAGGGATCACACAACAGAACAGCATGCCCACAGAAGAGTGCTGTTCCAAAATTTTGGAAATCAAAAGAATATCCTGAATCTCTAAGGCTTAATACATCCTCAAACTACATTCAATCTCAACTGAATTTGACAGTAAGTGTATTGACACAAGTCATGGCATGCCACTGGTAACACAGCAATTTGGCCAGCATGATATGCCTTGTCTCTCCAATGCTAATTTGGTTTCACTGTGCTGCTCTAGAAACAGCATCAAGCAGGTAGCCTGACCAGACTCTTTCACCTGTCAAAGAAAGTGAAGTTATTCCAGAGGAGACAGACAACCTGGGGAACTATGGGGAAAAGCTCGCAGAGTCTGAATTTTCAGTACAGAAGTCTTAATAAAAAAGAAATGGTACGATGGTATGAATGTGAATAGCACTAAGCTGAAGACTTAACAGAAAAAAAAAACAAAACAAAAATAATCTATTTAATGGAAAAGGAGAAAAAAAAAAAAATCAACACATAGTTCTAAGCCATCAAATCAGTTACCTGCTTCACACTGCCTACACATTTTTTCTTATTCATGCTTTAAAACAAGTATTATTCATCTATACATTAGCATAATCTACATTGAGAAAAGCATAACTCTTTCATAATGTTTGTCTAATAAAAAGGAAATACAAGTATTATTTAAAATATCTGAAATATGTTCATTTAGATGCTGCAAAAACATTACTAGGAAGCACCAGAAAAAACTTACCGATATTGCCAACCAGTGACAAGATTCGTATATTTCATTAAGTAGCCATAAATATTTTCCATGTGATCACTATTAAAAAAAAGGGGGAAAAAGAGAAAAGCAATTGGACAATACCAAACAAATTTCAGATCTCCCCAGATTTTGCTCATTGCTATTTACTCTCAGAAAATGAATTTATATTTTCAATTCAGAATGGCACTACCATCTTAATAAAGCTACCAACACTTAACAGATTTTCCAGCCTTGATTCCAAGATAATTTCATAAGATTGTTTAACCAGACTTACCAAACTCCAAATAATTTCAAGGCACAACTGGTTTTACCTATACTTGAGTTTCATTCAGCAGGCATTTCTGGACACATTTGTATTAGTTTTAGGTAATTAAGGACTTAGTATCCATGTTGCTTCTGTTTCCTGCTCCCTCCTCTAAGCAAGCTTTCTGTTCTTTGACTTGTGAACAAAATTAACTTTCATTAGCTCATTAACAGAACCTTGATCATGGTCACCAGCCAAAGCCAGTCACCAGATACTCCTACACTAGTGTGGTTTTATTTATCCTTAATGCCCAGAACCTGTCCCAAGTACATAAACAGTCATTTTCTTGAGCAGATGTTCCTACAGAACACAACATGCAGGTGCAGCTCACATCAAGATATTACAAAATCTGATGCAGGAGTTGAAACACCTCCTCCTCTGGCCTGGCAGGAAAATCAGGTTATTTCTCTTTCAGAGCTGCAACTTGTAACATCCACTACCCACCAAAAATGAGAATCCATTGAGCCATTCAGCAGAAAGGCTTAATAGCACACTACAGGCAAAACCACATTACCGCTTTCAAAAAACATCCATTGTCCTACATAAGGCTTACAAGTCTTATGGCTAGAAACCAACCACATCTTAAAGCCAAGTTTAAATACTTACTGTACACCGCACATTCCCATAACCCTAGAAATTACACCTCAATGCCCCTGCCTCTTACAGCAGGGCATAATCCTACACTGAACGACATACTCTTGGTAGACATTAAGGTCCAGCACGAGAAAAAAGTTCCTATTATTCCAATGAGGAAGTGAAACAATGACCCAAATAACAGACATTAACTGTTTGCTTTAAAAAAAAAACTTGTATTAAACCCATCTTATTCATATTTTAAATTAAAATTTCTGTAGCTTGCAGTTAATGTTGAAGATTAAATGACAATTATTCAAAGACTATTGGAGCAGCAGCCTGTCTTGGTCATTACAGAGATCAAAGTAGCTCCCTATCAGCAAAAGGGGAAAGATGGGGAAAATGGGACTAACAGAGCCTAGAGATCATCTCCCTTAGTGGGTTTTGGTTGCATATAGTTGGACTAAGTACTGGGGTTAACTTTCAAATAATAACTGAAGCTGCTGTATCTCATTTATAGACAGTGTCAGTATCACCAGATTAATTAGACATATGGCAATTAGACAAATATAATATATTACACTAAGTTTCATCCTAAAGGAGGGTATTTAGGATGACAGTACTGAAGATAACCTCAGAATAAATAACTGCCATATCACGGCCATTCAGTATTACTATTCAAAGAAGAGAGGCAAGAATCCACATTTTTGAAGAAAAAACAAGTTGCTGGTTTTTAATGTTACACTTAAACCAAAACTGTGTTCTAGCTTCTGCAGCAATCAGTATTGCAGTAATATCCTGTAATGGAGGGCAGCCAGCAGGACTATCTAGGAATTTACTTTCTAATAGCTCATTAAGTGGTACTTACAGATAAAAAAAAAAAACAACCCTATAGATAAAAATAAAACCAGGAGAGCAGAGGGTATTCAGGCTACGATACTTTTAAACATAGAAAAATGCTAAAGGAGATACAACCAGACAACCAGATTCACCCTTCAGATGCTTCTCATTTGTTATAATTGGCATACAAGTGAAGTACGCTTTAGACTTGCTGTCTTAATTTAGCTGAAGACTATAAGATTGTAGTTATAAAAATGCATGAGCTTGGGTTTTAATCATCCGAAAATTGTCCCTAGACACAAGTTAACTGTTTTTCAATTCCAGTGAATGCAAGCTTCACCCTTGCTTTTCAGTTAGGCATCATACAGAGCCCTGCACAATTGCGCTAGAGCTTCCGCACTCTCCCATTAACCAAGTTGCCTAAATCACAGGTGCCTTTAACAGAAACCAAGAAAATTCAGGAAAGTGACTTTAGACTGCAATGAAAACATGTATGGCCTATGGAAGTCCATTCATCTGACAGTCTTTGCTTAAAATAATTTGACAACTTTTTTTGAGCATGACAGATAAGATAGCTGATTTTTTCAGACTTCAGAAAAAGCAAAAAGTCACCGTAGAAGGGGGTGCAGCCCTTTAAGCGATGTACTTCACATCAAATGAACACTTCACTACATTTTGCCTTCATTCACGTGTTCCTCTCTACTTGGATTTTCACTTTGACTGGACTCAAACTTCTCCAAATGCCTCCTCTTCAATAATTCCTATCTCTAGCCTCAGCAGTCCCAGAAGTTCATAGTGTCACCAAAAAACTCTGAAAACAGCACCCCAGGGAAATCTGAGAAAGTAACTGAGGATAAGCAAGCCAGTCACCTCCAGCATTGTGAACACCACTGATCTGGAAGAAGCATGTTGCATAAACGTGAACACAAGTGCATAAAGTTAAAACACACCGACCAGCTGTGTTTCAGAATCCCTAACTGTATGCAAGGGGTCCCCAAACCCTTTATCTCAAACAAAGGAGCTATAACTCAATATACAAGGTAAAGCTCAGAAGTATATTTAGCAGGCTTCCATTCACAAGCAAAAAGACTCCCATTCACAAGCAAAAAGACCTCATTCAAGGTCTGCATAAGATCACAGAAACATACTTAAGGACCAACGGCCAAACCTCAGTACAGAAGAGCCCAACAGTAGTGATGCACATCCCAAGACACACAACCATCAGCTCCAGGGAGAGATTCCTTATGGACTAGCCTCTGCAGTAAGGAAGGAATATAACATGTCAGCTGCGAGAGACAAGATACTGAGCTGTGGCTTGCTTTTTGGGAAACCAGGGAATGCCAGAAAAGCCAGCATCCAAAGAGAAGAAGCATGAACAGATTTCTCTGCTAAATGAGCCGCCTCTTGGACAATACTCATTATTTTCCTACTTAATTCTGTTCATACATTTGCAACAGAACTGCACAAACCCAAAGGGCTGTACTTATATGTGTGTATATATATAAATACATTTAGTTTTCACTCTGCCAAAGGTTAGGCAAACTTTCAGCACCCGTGCAAATAAGGGGTTAGCCTGTCTGAAGGGTATGAAAAACTTTGTCAATGTTTAAAACTTTTCCTGTGTCGGTATAAGGGCCTCAAGGCAAACAAATAAGCAAATGAAAGAGTAAAAACACAGACATTATAAACACTAATCATACTCTCCCAGCACAAATTCTCACACCATGTGGGCCAGGGAATTTTCAGCATTTGAACTAAGGATTATTTTTAAATATGTAACAATTTTATATGCTTAAAAAAAACAGAGATTTAAATCCAGTCCACAAACTGCAGTTCACAAAAGTCAGAACCTGTAACGGTACACAAACCTGCTACTGAACTACAGCTAACCTCCTAATCTTCTTCTGGGTAAGTACTAGTACTTTCCTGCGAATGCAGGAAACATTCTCAGTATTATTTATAGCAACAAGACCATGGAATTATAACTAGAACATTTCTTGAATGATTTTAAGATTAGTGCCTCCATAGCAAGAGTTAAACTAAACTATTTGTTTTGCTAAAGCACTAGTGTAAGGCAACTAACACTGTAAAAAAATAATAAGTAAACCATCAAGAAACAAACCAAAACCCCAAAACCCCAGTAATATTTCACTAGTAAGGGATTAATAGCAAAGCTCTTCAGAGCACTACAGAAAGCTTTTAAGATGGTAGACTCAGAACAAGAAGCTGAGGTTCAGGCATTGCCTCTGCTCACAAATAAACACAGTTCATAAAATAATAAGAGTAAGATCTTCCTTAAAGCCCTTTCCAGCATTGTTTCTAATGAAACAACAGTAAAACCTGCTTCAAAGTCATCTGGTGTACTTCAGAAGTCTCCACAATTCCTCACAGTAGGGTTTTTAACTTCTAGAAAATAGATTTCAGAAGCAAATTTGACACTAAACACTAAGCAGCTTATCAATGCTGACAGCGAGGCCTGGCTCCACCAGCATCCTTCCCAACTTTAAGAATACCTTTGCATTCACACTGCTGCCTACGTGCATGTACATGTACCTATAGATATGTATATCTTTTCACAGCCAAGATGCTGTTCTTGCTTTTCAAAATCTTCACAGCAGTCTCAGGTTGTCAAAGGAACAGCAACAACTCAGCAATGATGAGTCAACAACCCCTAAAGTCTGTATTTCTACAGAAATTCACATCCTTCCGTCAAATGTTGGGGTTTTTTTTGTCATCCTTTAAGCATTGCAACAGACCTGTCACAGTCTTCAAGATGTAAACCAAAATTTCATTTTAACTTTTGGTGGACTACTTTAAGTAAGGATACTGTGCAAATCACAATCCAGGAACAAAATTACACAGGAAATCGTGGTACATTTCAACTCCAGCCCGGCATATCTGCCACCCCCCAAAACCTTCTTTCTTCTTCTCCCCCCCCCCGCCCCAAGGCTGAGCACCACTTTAACTGGCTGGCCATTTATCAGACTTCTTTAGTTTATAAATATTGAGAGACGGATTGAAACTGTCCTTTAAGCAAGTGACTGAAGACTATGAAAAATCACAAATCAGTTCATACTCTTGCCAGAAAACTATCCCTCCCCAACTTTAAAGATGTTTACCACAACCCAGATTTCTATACATCTAAGCGCTACTAAAATACAAGAATGAAACATTCACAAAGGATTATTGTTTATTTGTGCTTTTCTAGCATGCCTCTTCAGTTGCAGCAGCTGTCAGTGCCTTGCAGGGTGATCTCCTGTCCTGAGGGAGGAATGAGATAATGATAACTGGGCCAAATTCCCCCCTCATCCTGTTTACGAGCAGCATCCAAGTCTTGAAT